GGTCATCCAAACAGTGTCAGGTCTGTGTCCCATCCTATGGAGTGGGCCTTAAGTCAAACCAGACATTGATTGGTTACTCCTGAAAGCCTTAGCATATTTTGCAGGCAGGACAGATTGTAGGTCAAAGGTTTTGTAGTTGGGTTGATGCCTACTTTTCTCTTTTAGTAGCCTTTCTGTGACACAGACACAAGAACAGCAGTTCTCAACCTGTGGGTCTCAACGCCCACGGTGGTCACATATCAAATATCCAACATATCAAATATTTACACTACAACTCATCACAGTAGCAAAATTACATTTGTGGAGAATCAGCAGAAATGGTTTTATGGCTGGGGTTATTGCAGCAGGAGGAACTGTGTTAAAGGATCGAAGCATTAGAATGGTTGAGAGGCACTGCACTAGCACATGGGGGCAAAGTTTCTGCGTAGGCACCAGCTGGACCTCTCCGTGTTCAATGCGTTGTATGGGTGATGTCTTCAGTTGAGAACCACTGCACTAGCACATGGGGGCAAAGTTTCTGCGTAGGCACCAGCTGGACCTCTCCGTGTTCAATGCGTTGTGCGGGTGATGTCTTCAGCAGTGGGAGCTTGCTGACGGTTTGTGGAGAACAACCTGTTCTCTTGTCAACAGCCAGGTCGTTCTGGGGATTTCCATGGGCCCCCTTTGGGCTAACAACTCAGATGGATAAAGACCAGTCCTGGCCCTGGAAGCTTCATTTGGTGACAAGAGATGGACCCAGATATTCTCATTGTCAAACTTTGTATATATTAAGAAGTAATTAGCATCAATTTAAACATTTTAACCTTCATTTTATTTTATGTATATAGGTGTTTGGCCTGCATATATGTCTGTATATCATGTTCTTAGAGGGAGGGCATTAGATGCCCTGGGCATGGAGAAGGTTCTGGAATAGCAGACAGTGCTCTTAACCCTTGATCCACCTCTCCACCCTGTTGGTATTAATCTTTTACAAACTCAGACCACTAAAAGAATATTTTCTATCTTAGTTTATGAGCCTACAGTAAACTTGTTAGCAAAACTTGACAAGACATTATATAGGGCAGTGTTTCTCAAATATCTGGATGCAGAAATCATCAATACCTCGTATGCAAAATGTTAACTCACTTTATGTAGACTGATTTGTTTTTCAACTCAAAAGGAATGAATGAAAATCTTTAAATTAATAGAGCAAAGAAGAAAACGGCATTCCCCACAAGCATGACAGAAAAGTGTTTGATAAAGTGCAAAAACAAAACCTTTCAGGAACTAGAGACAGGCCTTTCTCATTGATGGAAGTTGTCTACCAGCATCCTTCACCAAGCATTTTACCGGGCCCCTTCCAAGTTCAGGTGTATGGGGTCAAGTGAGTGGATACACATGGAAGCCAATGGGCCTTAGATAGCAGATTTAACAGAATTACGTCAAGTGAATATAAAAGGGGTACATTCAAACTATAAAAAGTAAATTCCATCAGTATTTATAGATAGAAAAATGAAAGAGGCACTGTGTTTCTAGTTTTTAGTTGGAAAATTAAAGTTAATTTTTTAAAAAGGCTTTACACTGTATAAGCCTGATGATCAATCTCGCCACACCTGTATCTGGCACTTTTCTCATTGTGACAAAGAGCTTACGGGAAGGGCTTGTTGGGGCTCATGGTCTGAAGGTAAAATCTATCATGGAGGAAAAGCCCAGCAGGTAATGCCATGGCCACAGTCAAGAAGCAGAGATGAACACTGGTGTTCAGCTCACTCCCCCTTCTATTTAGCATGGGACCCTAGGGAGGGGGCGCTACCCACATTCAAGGCTCTCCCCTCTCTTAAGCCCTCCTGGGAATCTATATATCTATCTCCCATCTATCCATCCATCCATCCATCCATCCATCCATCCATCTATCATCTATCTATAATCTATCATATATCCATCTACCCACCCGTCATCTATCATCTATCTATCTATCTATCTATCCTTTCAACCTCCCACCCATCTATAGTCTATCATCTGTCTGTTTGTCTCTCTGTCTTGTGCTGTCATTACTCATGCTCTTTTCTCTGCCTTCCATGTTCTTTCTTCTCCTTGCTCTGATCGCTCATCCATTGACCCTTGTTGCTTTCTTGGAGAAAGCTGTCCCCAGCTGAGCCCGAAGTCTGAGTTTATCACTCATGTTCACAACCATAGTGCCCTCTGATCACTACTAAACACCTGTCAGCATCCAGTGATACAGCTGTCTCTGCATGTGACTAATTTATCCTGCAGGTTCCAGGAGGGGACCTGGAGGTAACCAAGGTTGTGTCTACAGCCAATAGAGATGGCCAACAATGAGATGGCAACAGCACAAACTGAACCTCAGCAGTAAGGTCACCTGTGTCACCCAATTCCAGTGAAATTAGAGATGCCTTGGAGCAACATCTAACAATATGTTAAGACAATGTTCTTGGAAACACTGAACACTCCTCCAACACACACATACACTCTATAAGTGTAAAGAAACTGAGATCTGAGTTAAATCTCACTATTGGATGTCCTTGAGGTCTTGAAAGGTCTGCTAACTAAATTCAATTTGTAAGCCCCAAGGAGTTGACTCAGAAAATGCAAATGAGAGTGAGCCTGCACTGAAACTCCTAATCGTAACCATGGCTTTGCCCCTGCCAGGTGGCTTACAGATGTCTGCTTATAAGAACCACAGTTTCTTGTCTCATTGATGTCATCTTGGTCCATGGTTTGCTTTCGCCAACAGAATGTGAGCAACACAACCCTGTGTCAGAGCAGAAGCAGTGAAGACATTCTCCTGTTTGGTTGTTTTTCATTACCCTCCACACAGCAAATGCCAAGAGGGGGGGCCTGCAACCATCAGAAACAGGCAAGGTGAGAAGGAAATAAGCCAGTGCTGCTGGAGGCTACTAGGGCTAAGAGGTTTTGTCATAGTAGCCTTTAGGCTAAGCTTTGGAGAGGAACATCAGCCTAGAGGCTGGGCTAAATCCAAAGTGCCTACTTGTGGTATGGTCAGTGAGGATGCAAGCTCAGCAATGCCAGAGGAGCCTAGCCATGCATGGTGACACATTTGTACTTCAAAACCTCGGGAGGCCCAGGTAGGATTTCAGGGAGCAGAAGGAGTGACCTAAACTCATTTTGAGCATCATATATGTAAGTGTTACCTTATGTTTAAAAAAAAGCACCGAAATGAATAAAACAAGCCCGGGAAGTAAAGCATTCTAACTAGCAAGCTGGGACATGGTGACAATGAGGTCATTAGTGCAAACCGTGTTGTTTTCTGTAGCTCCTTTGTTGGTCCTCCATGTAAAACAAAAAAAAAATGTTCTCCCTGGCAGATATGACTAGCATGGAACCATCTTCAGAAATCATCTGAACCAGGTGTAGTAGGCAGAAATGAATGGTTGAAACAAGATAGATAGTGGTCTGTGTCCATTGATCCAGGCTATTTTCCTCCTTTCCAACGTCGTACTTTTGGGGTTTCCCCATGCCGTCTCAGGGACTCACCCAATAGCAGTTAGAGAAAAGTAGACAAGAGCATACAGAACCAACAAACCGATGAGACTGCGGTCAGATTGCAGACCTCAAGCACATCTGTTTTACTCTTATGCACTTACAGTTGTGTTTCCCTGACACATTCGCGTGATGTAAGTCATAGGTAGGATCTGATGATACCCCTGAACAATAAAGACCGGGGAAGGAAGTGTGTAAAGTAACGGTTTTCCAATTGCATATTTCACGTTTCTTTTCTGTTATGCAAATCAGCCACTAGAGGACGCCACGTGGCTCCATTTCCACACCGGCTTCTGTGACTCTGAGGCTGGCATTTCCAATTTCCATCCTGAGAAGTCACCGGGTTTTGCATTCCTTTAACCCGGGTAGGCAGGGCAACGAGTCCACCCAAGGGAGCCACAACTCTGTATTAGCTCAAGGCCAGTTTCCGCTCCGCACAGCCGAGGAAGATCTGACTAGTGTTCCAAAGACCTTCACAGCAGCCCTTGTTACGCGGCTCCCAAGAGGGTGGGTGCCTGGGATTTGTACGGGCTGTGGTCCTGCTTCCTGTTAGCACTGACCTCCTTAGCGTTGCACACCTTTCCTTCTAACCTGCTTTACAGTGGGGCTTGGGGTTTGCCTGGTTTGTTTGTTTGGTTGGTTGGTTGGTTTTGTTTTGCGTTCTGCTGATTACTTTTGTTATTTGGGTGCATTTTAAAGGAAACTGTTGTAATCCAGGCAAACCTGGCTCCTCCTGTCACCCACCTGAGCTTGGCAGGTGTAGGGACCCCGGATCTTTAAAAGAAAGGCTCCACCCTCTTCTGTCCTCTTTTTCTAGCTGTTTCTCTGAAGGGCAGACAGGACCTTTCCTGTCTCCCCCCTGCCTCTTCTCTTCTGTCCTGTCTCTGTGTCTCTTTGCCTTATTTCCTTACCTCCCCCTCAGTGAAACTTTCAATATGAGCCACGTCTATGGGTCTCTGCTTCCCAGTCCGCCCGCTGCCCATCACCCGCCCCGGGACCGCGACCCTAGAGCGGACCAGAGACCTGCCACCTGCGGTCCCAACCGGTTACGCTTTATTCCCACCAGGAACTGCTTCTGCCGCCACGTGGACGCTGGAGTTCAGCTGGAATTCTGCTTCCCTGGAAGATTTCTCCTGCCTCGTGGTTCTTTCTTTGCTGTCTGAATTGTCACAAACTTGCAAGTTTTTTCAGTTCTCAAGTGCATCCGATTGCAGCACAAGAAGCCGTGCTCTAAATGGACAGTAAGGACCCTCCATTTCAGAAACATTCGTGTTCTGCAACAGCCTAGCACCCGCCCTGACCTTGGCAGCTAATCTCTTCGTCCAGCTGAGCGGGTCCTGCGGCTACCTTCCACACCCGCTTCATTTGCATAAAGTAAGTTTCACACAGCCCGCAACTCTTGGAAATGAGGATTTTAGTTACATGCGTCCTCTCAGTTAGGCAGCCCTCCTCCGGTTATCTTTATTAACAGACACTAAATAACTTTGCATCATTTAAATACCCTCCAGTGTTTATCGGCTGATAGAAGCCCCCCCCCAACCCCCTGGAAGGTGGACCTGAGCGATAGTGACAAGTAGGCAGGACCGGGGAATAACTGTTTAGCCTCCCTGACTGAGCTAAGCGACGCTCCTAGGATGCTTGAGAATATAACCAGCGAGGCATCGACAGCAGGTGAGTGAGCATTTTCAGCTCGGTGACACTGTGTTTATGAACCCATGAATAGCACCGACTATTGTTTCCTTGCCTAACTGCACAGATGAATTGGGAGGTGTATTAATTTAGGTCTGGGGGTGGGGTGGGTTTTAACAGGGCTCAGCTGGCAATGGGAGCTAGGGACACAGGTGACACCAGCCCCCACCGGGGGCTGAATCACAGTCTCCCAGTCTGAGAAATTTGCTTGGGTTCTAAGCCTACACAGAGTTGAAGGGATCGTATCAAGTGTAAGTAATGTCTTTGTATAAATAAACATGTTAACTTTGTTTGGGCTATGAAGAGACTTATTTCCAAGCTAAAGTCAGTAGCGAAGGTTAAGGTGGGTTTGTGGCCTTTCTTTTTCAAAAGTATACACAGTTTCCTACTGCTGCAAAGAGACAGGCTGTGAAAGCATGATCTCTGGAGCTGTGGAGGGTTTCTCTTGGCAGAACTGTTACTACAAAACAAAAAACTAGAAACTAAACAAAAACCTTTCTAATTGGTTTAGGTGTTCTATGGCTGGGTGCATCTAAACTGGTGTGTGCATTAAAATAAGTTCCATGTGTTATTAAATTCATTTAAAGTAGTCTTGGTTTTTTTTTTTTTTTTTTGGCCTCCTTCTGGGGATGTTTTAAGCAACGCTCTCTCAAACACAGTGATTCTGTTTTAGAACTGTAAGGGCCCAGGAGGTGGGTGAGGCGGCTGCATGATGTGTATTTTGTCCAGAGGCATAGCTGTGATCTGGGTCTCAGTGAGCAGGAAAGTTGTGCAGAGTCTTCTGTGGGGTGCAGGGGTGTGAAGAGTCTTCTGTGGGGTGCAGGGGTGTGCAGAGTCTTCTGTGGGGTGCAGGGGTGTGCAGAGTCTTCTGTGGGGTGCAGGGGTGTGCAGAGTCTTCTGTGGGGTGCAAGGGTGTGCAGAGTCTTCTGTGGGGTGCAGGGATGAGATCCAGACTCCTCAGCAGATGGAATGAAGCAGGAGTTAAGAACACAGGTGCAAGGAACACCAGAACTGGGTTCAAATCTAAAAGTCCGGAAAACATTAAGATAAACCATTGTCCCTCCTCCCTTGGCCTCATCTGGAAAGTGTGGGCTGTTGGTACCTGTCTCGTAGTAACAGCAGAAGAGCTAAGCAAAGTACTAATGCTATGTACTCTTTCCAGCACCTGAAACAAGGCAAAATCTGTTTGTTGCATATTAAGAATTATCATCATAGTAAGTTTTGATAAGCACCACTAAATAGATGCAAGCTACAGAACAAAGCTGAATATATGCTGAAGAGAACTCCATAATGTTGGTTTACCAAAAGCAGATGGCCCTACGCTGTTTCCGTATCTTAGTGCACATGAATAGAGCTGCAGTAAGTGTGACATGTGGGCATCTCTGATGTGTTGATTTTGCCTCCTTTTAATATACAGCCACTAACAGAATGGCTATGTAATGTGTTTGGGGGAACTCCATACTGTCTTCACAGTGACTGCAATAATCCATGTCCCTACCAATTATTTATAAGAGTTACATTTACTCCAGGTCATAACACTTGGTTTTTTTCTTTTTAAGACTGTCTATCCCAGCTAGCATGGGGGCCTTTAATGCTAGCAGTCAGGGCCAGAGACAGGCCGATCTCTGTGAGTTCGAGGCATTCTGTACACAGCACACTGTAGGCCAGTCAGGGTTGTACAGTGTGACCCTGTCTCGAAGTAAGATAGTTCCATGATTCAGAGCTCATGTAGTTCTTGCAGATGACCTGAGTTCTGTTCCCAGTACCCACATGGCATCTCACAATTGTCCTAGCTCCAGGCCTAGGGAATCTAATACCTCATTTAGCCTCCACCAGCACTAGGCACATGGGAGAAAACACTAATACTCATAAAAATAAAAATAAATAAATCTTTTTTGAATAGTTGTTCTAGCTGGAATAAGATGGAAATTCCCTGATAGGGCTCCTCCACACTATTGTGGGTTCCTCTATTTCTTTTCAAGAAGTATCTGTTCAGATAATTTCTCTTTTTAAAGATCTCTCTGCATTTTTAAGTATAGAATTTTTTTGTGTGTTCTGTATAGAAACCTTCTGCCAGATGAATAGTTGACAAATTTTGTGCCATCCTGTAGGCTGTGGGAAACACATTTTAAATAACTTCCCTGTCTTTTCTTTACAGGCCATTCTCTTCCAGATACCACCCTTATAGCTTCAACTTTAGAGCACCAAGAAGAACATTCGACATTGTTGCCAGAATTGGGTAGGACCTACGTTTTTGAATAACACATTTCCATCATTAAGAGCACCTGTTGCTCTTGCAGAGGGCCTGGGTTCCCAGCACCCACGTGGCAGCTCACAACTGTCTGTAACTCCAGTCCTAAGGGATTTGACACCACTTCTGGTTTCCACGGGCACCAGGCACATGAAGGTGCGCATACACACATGCAAGCAAATACACCCATAAAATAAAAATAATAAACCTTCTTTTAATAGCCATTCGAGCTGGGGTGAGATGTCAGTTCCCCGTGGGCTCGGGGGGGGGGGACCCATTTTAACTAACTTTCCTGTCTTTTGAATGCAGATACTCTTACTACATCACCCACTCACCTGCTATCTTCAGCTGTACATCACCAAAGAGAGAATCCACTATCATTGACAGCATCTGGTAGGTTCTGTGCTTTTTATACAACAAACTTCTAGCCATTGGTCTCTTATTTGAGTCTTCAATAAGGTGGATCTGCAACATCTTCTGGGGTCAACTAACTGACACTAAAACATTGACCAGAAACATCCCACAGTTTCCTCTGGGAGTAGGCTAGGGGATTTTTATTAAGCAGGATTTTTTTTCTGCAAAGAGAAGCAATCATATCGTTCACTGAAGAAATGTTAAAAAGGTTTAGGAAAGCAAAATGAGCAAGCACATCCCTGCTTCTTAGGAAGCCTTGCCAGCGAGCAGTACTTGCTGAGCAGTGAAGGAAGACACTGTTCACTGTGTTGTGCTTATTAAATTTTGCTTAAAAGTTCCTGGGGAAGCTGACTTTCAAAGGGTGCAGTAGAGGAAAGAGCAAGAAATCACAGTGAGGTTATGAGACGAACCATTGGTAACAGTTTCTCATCTTAGATTTTCAGAGGGTTTGTTTCTATTGTGAGGTAGGAATTCGTTCCCAAGTCCCAAACTGCCACCCCTTCCGTAACTAAGAGTATCAGAAAAGCAGCTGTACATAGAACCTGGAGCCACCCTACTATGTGAAGACCTCTACCGTAGCCCCAGAATGAGGTGGAGTTCTGGCCGATGCCTAATGCAGAGCTGTGCATGGCCCCTGCAGCACTGCCCACCTTGTCCCCTGTGTTCTTGCCCGGTGATCACCTCAGAGGTCTGGGGAGACAGTTCTAACCTTCATCTCCTCCACGGATATCTCCTGAGATGTTTTAAATGTCTAAATCTTTTACTGTATAGTTGTAAGAATTCTTTGATTATTCTAGATGTCATCTTATAAGATACATGGCTTGAAAATATTTTCTCCAATATTGGGATCATCTTTTTACCTTTGATACTGTCCTTCTAATGTATTTTTATGAATTCTATTTTCTATTTTATTATTTTTGCTTATGATGTCATATTCAAAGAATCATTTTTCCAAATTCAATGTTATAAAATATATGTCTAAATTTTCTTCCAAGAGTAGTTTTATATTCTATATGATGATTTAAATGCGTATGCACATACTGTGTATATATATTCAATAAAGTTTGAGTTAATGTTCTTATGTGACATAAAGAAAAAAGTACCTTTTTGCATGTGAAAATAGTAGATATTGAAAATATTACTTTTTCCTATTGAATGACCTCCAATCAGTCAGTAATAGATATAAATTAACTTCTGGACTCTCAATCCTATCCCTTTGATCTTTATGTCTTTATAATCTTATATTACTAGGGCAACACCACACTCTAAACACTAGAACACTGGAATTTTTGTTTATTTGGTTGATTTTTTCTGTTTTTTTTCCCATCATGTGTTTTGAACTCAAGAAGTTTGACTATTCAGACTGTGTTCTTGGACACTGCCTTGACTATTGGGAACCTTCATTTCATATGTGTTTTTCTAATTCTGTTAAAACACTGCACATACATACTCATTGAATGTGGTCAGTGATTATATGATGTTTACACTATTCATAAATCTCATTTTACAGTGATGTAAAATGCAGACAAGTGGCCATTAGTGTTCCTAGTCCTCAGTTGGATTTGTTTGCCTTTAGGTACCTCGACACCAGTCTATGCGCTCCGTGTGGCTCTCTTTGTCACCCAATGATATCCCAGGCTTAGCTCTTCCCCTTACAGTTGTGTGTTCTGCTTCCTCTCGTAAGGCGAGCCTTTAGTGTAGGCTCACAGTCTGTGCTCTCCGGTAAGTACAGCAGTTAAGCCATCACTTAAACCATGAGACAATCCTAACTTCCTACTCTTTCGTAATATGGCCAGACTTTGATATGGCCAAGCATATCATGATCATTTTCAATCCTTAAAATGGAAGAAATTAAATTTTAAAAATGTAAAACAAGATGAATACAACTATTTGGGGGCCACCAGGACAATGGATGATGACACTAAAATTTGTAGCTCACTAGAAAAAAATACTGCAGAAGTTCACCCTGTTACCTTCCTCCTCCTCGAATGACTCTTTTGGGTGCATATCTCAAAATCCTTCTGTCAGCCAGTGGAACAATGTGCCTGCAAAATAGGTGTGACCTTGCCTGGGAATGTGAGTAGGCATGATGTCTCAAATTCTAGACGTCTGTGATGTTATCGGTTCTGTACCTAAATGTCCACGCAGTCCAATTCTGGTGAAATCCAAAATCAAAACTGGCTCTCTGTGTGGCCTCACCAGAGGTACTTCAGAGCTGGGAGAATGAAGCCACTCTCCTGTCTCTGCGCCTCTGCCGTGTAGACGTTCTGAAGCTGCCACCAGGGGGCCTGTGGGGAAGTGGTCTTCGGCTGATACTTTATCCACTTCTTGTTTACCCCATCTCAACGTCTGTCCCGTACAGGTAGTACCGTCAGACCATTCACCATGTCACTCAATGACACGGCTGTCACTCCTGAAGTCCCCGTCTTCCCAGCACTGAACATCACGGGAGGTTTGTTGTATTTCCAGCACTGGGGTCTCTATGGGGGTGCCCGTTTCCTCAGTGGGATCCCACCGGTGACTGTAGGGAAACCGGACCAACCCAGAGAAGCGCAAGTTAAGCAGCCAGGTTCCTGCTGCTCAGAGGCTCTGGCGCAAGACATAACACTGGGAACCAAAGAAATTACAACTAGGAAAGTACACAAATGATAAATATGACCCGAAAATGTGGAGGGTAACAAATAAAGGGGACCAGGAGCCAAGGCCTTACACAGCCTAGAGCAAACCAAACTAGCTCACCTGGGCTGGCCTGCTCCCCCACAGAACTGCCTTGAGGGACCTCCATGCCATTCATCTTGAAAGAAAGCCAGTCATACTTGCCCCACAGTGTTTCTCCACAGATTAAATAGGAGGTAAGTCAGAGCTCAGGCCTGGAGCAGACAGACTCCAGTGTCTACCAACTGATAGCCAGCTGTGTGTTGAGATAAGGGTGTGCCTGCGGCACCGTTGCCTGCTTGATCTCTCTCCCTCCCGTCCTCTCTCTCTCTTTGTAAAGATATAACCTACTTAGTATTCTGACTTTCTTTGAAAACTTTGTTTTTCAGGACGGCAAAGAATAGGACACCCTTTTGATGAACCAGGTATGTTGGTGTGTGTTAATGAAATGACAAGCATTCCATTTTAAAATAGTAGTGTTTTTGTTTTATATACCTAAGAAGTGACAAGGGGCTATGTTAAAAGAGAAAAATATGTGTCATTAACTTCAGTGACAAAAGCAAATATTCCTGATTTTGAAGGAAGAACTTTTTTTTAACTCTGGAAGTAGCAATATATGATTTGGTCTTTTATTTTTCTAAGTTACGTTTTTGTATTTTTTTGATCAACTGTGAACAAAAATGAAGAAAAGTCTCTTCATTTATAAAAAAAGCTGAGTGTTCCTCTTCCCATCAATTAATTAACATCATATCAAAAATAAATAGAGACCATCCCTGTCTCAGTCCCAATTCACCTTTGGGCATATCTTTACACTCTCCCTTCTAACAAGCATCGTGCTTGCTGCCCTTGTCTGCTGTGGACTGACGTGGATCACTGGTGTATTCTTCCCTACCCTGAAATCCTCAACTCTCCCTTACTGCTTGGCCAATGACCACATTTCGCATGGGAGAAAAGACGGGTTATAGAACTTTGTCACAAACTCACAAGTTACAGCAAATTGGTGGAAAAGGCCATACACCAGAGAATGGGCAAGCTACTTTTGCCTTTAAAATTAATAACCTGTATTTAAGACATAAGTTAAACAAACGGGCATGTCATTTTATCTACATGCCTAACCCTCGGTTCTGTTGACTTCTTTGATCAGCACTACAAGCACTCTGTAAAAACAAAAGTCTCTCCAACTTACTTGTCTTAAATCGCTTCATCCCCAATGTGCTGAAGTTTGCAAAAAGCATTTGTCACTGTGCCTGTGAGTGTGCAGGGGCTTGGGCCATAACTAGGCAGTGCTTAGAACACAGGTGATCTGGAGAATGGTTCTAATTCTGCTTTACCACTGCCTGACTGGGCAGCTCAGCACCATTCACTTGATGTAAGCTGTTTAGGCTACTTCCCTTCCAAGCCTGTAATTCTACGATCCATTTCATACCCTTTAGTACATGAAAACATCCTTCTCTCTCCTACCGTTTAAACCATCAGAGAGTTTGTAGGTTTTCCCAGTCTGTGCCGAATACCAACAAACTCTTATCTGAGATTATGCCTGAAAAGAACACTTAAATGTTAATTCCCTGTGTGACTGAGAAGCATAAAATTCAAGATTCCCACAAGGTTACTCTCAAAACACAAAGTTTTGAGAGATCAAATGTGAACAAAACTATGACGTATTAATGCATTTTCTGTGAGCAGGCAAGGTCATATCACCCTGTGTGGTTTTTCAAATGACACAGTTGATTTTTCAATTTCTTTCTTCCTGTTTCCTGTAGTGACTATACTCATTGTTTTGGGTGTAATCGCTGGTATCGTTGGAACTATCCTTCTCATCTATTACTTAATCAGCCTAATAACAAAGGTAAGAGTTCAGGGTTCCATTTTGTTTTAAGCTCTGTGTGAACAACTTCGAGTGGCATATTCTTCAGAGTACATTTGAACACAAAGAGAAGCAAAATTTTGTGAAACTCCATTCTTTTGAACAGGACACATAAAGACACAAAATCCTCAGCCGAACTGTTTTTGCATCTGCTAAATTTAAGGCGATTCCAGCATATAACTCTATTTGCCATGTCCCCAATGACTGGTTCCACAAAGTTCCTGCCTAATGTGATTTAGTATATTTTAATGTATATAGACGAGCTAGTTAAATTTCCGCTTGTATTTAATTTGTGAATAAAGTATTTAAGACAGTGTCATACCTAGATACATTTAAAACTAATACTTATTTCCTTTTTTAAGATTTATAGTGTGTGTGTGTGTGTGTGTGTGTGTGTGTGTGTGTGTGTGTGTGTGTTTGCAAGAGTTTGTGTGCACCATGTTTCAGCAGTTGCCTCCAGAGGTCAGAATTGATCAGATTTGCCCAGTACAGGTGCCGGGAACTGAACCTGGGACCTCAGTAAGAGCAGCAGCTGCTCCTAACCACTGAGCCATCTCTCCAGCCCCATTTCTGCTCACACTGTTTCTAAAAATAAGTTATTCAAAAATTCACCCATGAATTTTTAATCATTAAAACTATTTTTAATGACACATACGTACCACTATACTTTCAGGAATTATTTCTGTGATCTGCTAAATACATATTCAACTGCCTGCTAAAGCATATGAATTTCTACCTAAGATACAAACCGTGATGTACACTTATGATGCTGTCTCTAAATCTGTAATGCTATGTCCTATATCCCAAGCATCAAGTCATACAAGATTGGCAGCTGGGCATTTAGCATCTTCTATTTTTAACCACTCCCTGATTGCACCACCGTAACCACGATCTGTATTATTTTGACAAAGTTAAGAGTGGTGGCCACACTGTGGTGGCAGGGCCATCACTCTAAAAATGACAGGAAACCTACACCATTTCTTTGCTTGGGTCTTCAGCTACTTTTACAGGCAACTGGCTTAAACATCCAGGTCTATCACTGATTCTCATTATTCAATGTTAATGTGTCTTCCTTAGTTAAGTTAATCAAGGTCATGCATTTCATTATTTGTTAGTAATTCAGCTATTGGTTAGTTTATGGGTGCTTGGTCGTCATATGAGATATGCTCCATATGAAATGACTCCTTCGCCTAAAGTCTATACATTACAGAAAAGTCATTTTCTGAGAAAATATGTGAAAATGAACTTCCCTCTTTGCTAATGCTCAAACCCTGAAATGTTCAGTTGGCAAAATTCAAAGAATATTCTCTGTTTGCATACAGAAGAATTTGCATCTGGGTAACATGACTCTAGAATTGTACTTTCTTCATTTTTATTTTTATTTCCACATTTGCTATTTGCTACAGCATAGAATATGGAAAAGTCAATCCATAGAATAGTATGACCCCTGTTGGATTAAAGCACTATTTAGAAATGCAAATATAAATTAAAATTAATGAACGGGGAACAGTGACCCACACCTTTAATGCCAACATTCAGGAGGGAGAGGCAGGTGAATCTCTATAAGTTTGAGGCCAAAAACTACAGCGAGAGTCCTAGGACAGCCAGGACTACAAAGTGAGATTTGTCACAATAAAACAAAACATAATTTAAATCAACTTTCATATGTATCTATGAAATAGGGGCTTTCCTCAGCAGAATTAGACTATATAATTTTTCACCAAAAGTATAGCAGTTTAGAAAAAAAGGGTTTTATAAGAGGAATTTTTATTTTCAGGGTATCTTTGATTTAGAAAATGGCAGTGATATTTTTTTCTTTTACTTTTGTTCCTAGAAAAGTTCAGTTGACATACAACCTCCCAAGAGCGAAGACACGGATGAGCCTATTGAACAGGTTAGTGGCAATGCCTCTGTTGCCTTTTGTGTTTGGGGAAAGGAATGAGTTAGTGAATTCTGTCTTTCTGAGTCATGGGGAAGCAAGTCAGATGGACTCACCAATGCTAATTATTTTTTAATATGAGGATTGCTCATAACTTTAAGAGTCTCTCCTAGGTAGAGCTTTTTTATTTTTATTTTATTTTTTTGTAAAATTCTATAAGTGAAAGAGAAAAAAGATTCATTAGTGAGCTCCTTAGTTCAGAACCTGCAAAGCTTGCCTGTGAGAGACCCAGTGGTGCCTCAGATATGATGCCCAGCTGTGGAGGCAGCAGCTTCCAGAGCACAGTTTCTCTACCCACGAAGCCTTTGTATCACTCTGCTCGCACAGTTCTTAGGAAATTTTGCCTGACGCATCAACCTAGGTAGCAGTATGTTTTGGAGGAGAAGTTGGTCAAGAACAGTGAGTTAGAATGCTCAAAATCAACTGAAGCTTTCCCCATGATTATTAAAATTCGTAACAGGGGAACCAAATTTTACATTCACCATTTTCCCATATTTGCGTAGGTTAAATTATTCAGAGCATATTTGTGAGTGGAGTTATAAAGTTCAAATGCCTCCCATAAGAGATGTAAGAAAACACAAAATCATTAAAAATGCTTTTAGTCCTTACTTTATGAAATAATGTTCTAAGCTGTTGATACAGCTGGAGGCTTAAGAGGTCAAGATGCTCTGTGGTCTCTGTAGGAACCAGGCATCTTCAGAGATGAGCAAGGCAGAGAGTGCTTAGGTTGCCTTGGCCATGACTTGGGCTTGGTGGGAAATTAGAAGACGTGAATTTCAATCAGCTGTCCACTGTGGCTTCCTACTAGGAATATTTGAGATACACAAAAGGATTGGGAAATGCTTTGGGGGCAAATATTCTCACTGTCCCTTCTATGTGTTCTCTGAGACACAACATGACCTAAGTGCAACCTTCCAGTCAAGATGGTGGGGCTGTGGGGTACAATGAGGGAGCTGACTGGGTGCCTTCCCTCTAAGCAGTCTGAGAGGAATTGCGAGAAGCTCTGTGCAGGGTCTTTGTAAGAAAGACTGCAAGACTGGGAGCCTGGCTTCTGCTTGACCGTATGGGTATAAACCAACTCACTTGTTACTGCCATGGCATCAGGTCCTGCCTCTCCCCACTTTCTCTGATTTGTCATCTCTGGAGAAGGGAGGAGCAGAACTGTGTTTGTTTCTCACCTGAGATTTCTAAAATAGATTTTCAAATAAAAAAAATCCGTGCCTTTCTAAAACAAACCCTCTAATGTAGCTACATGAAGGATATTTTATGACAACTATATTCAAAGACTACTCCAAGAATGTAGCTTCGTGGCATTTATTTGATGCAATGATCTCACGTCGCTTCAAACATAACTGCGTCCTATTTGACTGTTTCATACCCACTCCATCCTTCTACAGATCGTTGTTCAAGAAGAGCACGGCAGTGTTTGAAAGACCTCAAAGAAAACACGACGTCAGTCAACAGAAAACGTAATACAAGAATCAGACATTTCAGTAAATTATGTACCTTCCTGAGCTGTGTCATTATAGGAGAAAATGTCACCATTTTAAGCTTCATTAATTCACGATAGAGGGTAGGGGTGGGAGGGGCATCTCCTTTCATTAGTAACTGTAGATGAAGAGAAGTTTCCTTGTAGGTTTGATTTTATGTTGAATAGCAAGGTTTATAAATACTTGACTAGAAATTTTGTCCCAAAGTTTCAATTGAGTTCATGTGTTGTCCATTAAGATCGACTTATCCGATTCTGTTATATTTCGTTCATAATGTTATCATTGAAAGGCTTATACTAGCTCCATGAAATCGAAGTTCCCTTATCATTCTAACTGCTGGATTCAGTTTCATTGTTTTAAATAAATTAAAAGGCCAGCAAGTCCTACTCCTCTCCTTCCTTGCCAGACGGGCAACACAGAACCATGGTAGGGTGTGGGTGCTTTTCCCACGCTAACAAAGCTCACATTCAGAAATGCCACAGACACAAATGCATGAAAGGACACAACCCAGGATTTGATGGGTCAGTCAGCACAAAAGTATCTGCTATTAAACAGTGTTGCTTTTGGATCGAAGTAATGTGTCTGATAGTGTTAGGTTGACTCCTTCAGGGCGCAGACTAATGTTGCAAAGAGATGTTTACAGAACCAGAGTATCCTAGGATGGAAACCAGAAATTAACTACAGCAATGTGTGTAAACTTTAACAAGCAGTCTGAGTTGCTAACAAATTTCTTGAATCCATCCAGCGAGAGCTTCCCTTATTAATAGAACTCTGGAAAACAAATTATCAAAAAGAACTTTCTAGACATAAGTGACTAAGGAACTTTGTGACTATACTTGACTCTGTAACTCCTTTAAAACAAAACTTAAAAGAATCAATGCTTTTATTAAAAAAGACATGAATTTGGGAGGGGGTGGGGCGGTGGGGGTGGATCTGGGAGTGGCAGAGGGGAAATAAGAAATGAATATGCTCAAAATACATTATATGAAATTCTTAAAGAATTAATAAAAATTTTTTTAAAATCATCATCTTTTTCCAAGTTGATAAGATTCTATATGGCTTTGCCTTGTTTTACAATACATAACTATATGTACACACTTAGTCCTGGAAAGTCAAATTTATTTTTAATAATTTTTAAAAGGATCTACTTGCATGTTCAGAGAATGCTTTATGCTTGTCACCTATTTAAAATAAAGAATGGAAAAAGAGAACATTTGTTGATATGTATTTTAAGTAGATTTAAGAATATTATTAAGTTAACTTAATTCAATTATGATCCAAGTACCAAGGTAATTTTAAATATACTTATTTCAAAAAATGTAAAACGTTAGACTAAGAGAGAACCTGGGTCTAGCCTTGTCTCTAAAGTAATATACTGGCCAAAGACAGTAAGAGGTTAGAGTGGTGGGCTGTCTCAACCAGAGCTCTGAAGCTCAGAGGATAATTAAAGTACAAATTGCTTTGACCTCCTTGAACTGTTACAGGCAGTTTAGTTTCTCTGTGCTCCTCAAGTGGCTTTCACACTGAAATTCAGTGTTGGCATGAAGAAGTGGCCTTTTTCCATTTCCAGATCACAGTCATTGAGAAAAATCAGGACAGTAACTGAAGCAGGAGCTGTATACAAGAATACCGATTACTTGATTTCTGGCTGGATCTTGGCTTATATTCACTCGTGCTTTCTTATACAATGAGGCAGCCTGCCTAGGGATGGTTCTGTACCACTCTGGCTGAGTTTCTTCACATCAACTTACAATCAAGGTGATATTTTACAGACACTGTCAGACACCAGCCTGATTTGGATGATGCCTTATTCGACTTTGCTTCATCCAAGACCACTCTAGAGAGTGTCAGTTTGTCACTAAGAACTAATCTGTTTACCCCATTCCTTGTCTCCTTGACACCAAATACATCACTGGTAAGCTGAAGCCTATTTTTTCATGCCCACAATATCTCAAGTGAATGTCACAATATAAAACACAGGACAACATTAAAGTCTCATAGATCTCTCTGGGAAAGGGAAATAGAAAAGGTCGTCATGGATAGCTGTAGTAGAAAGACTGGAATGGGAGGATCAGGTGAAGAGGGGGAGGGTAGGGGATAAAGAAGGAGGGGATACAGAAAAGGAAACCTAAAATTAACAGTCACTTGAGTGGTAGTATGACAATCTAATAAGCTCAACACTTCTTAAATATATTTATGTATACAGACACACACACCCATATACATATATATGTTAGTCATCTAAATAAAATCTCCAAATAATGAAGGAAAAAAAGAAGTGGCCTTTATCCTCTTTGTATATTGTATAATTAAATCAGAATAAAACACAGAAAGAACCCTTCCCTGTGGAGACACCAGGAGCCCAGGCATGACTCTAACTGGGGTTCTTAGAATGGGGACTGAGATGAGCAAGGGTGGTGAAGCCAGTCGGGGGACTTATTATTGGATGCTGGGTGTTTCCTTACAGAGATGTAAACAGAGGGTCCAAATGAAGGAGAAAGAGAGTAAGGAATGGGAAGCGCCAGGGAAGAGTGTGCCACACCAAGTGTTTCGGTGATAATTAAACACAGTGAGTGATACACCCGTGGACTTCCTGTGGACTTCAAGCGTTTATTCCACCAAGTAACTATTTTCACAAAAGAAACTCCTGAAATCCAGATGTCCCTCAAAAAAAAAAAAAAAAGAGACATAACACATTTTGCCCACAGCACGAGTGTGCCCATGTCAAGCCAGGGCTAGCATGCCCTGTCCCCAGCTCTGCTCCACTGGAAGGTGTGTACCAGGGGCTGCAAACTCACCTTCAGCTTCTAGAATTAAGCATGTCTTCTGTTAGCTGTTAAAAGAATGGCAGCAAAGGGTAGAATACAGGCTTTGTCTCCGAATGCACCAATTACCCGCCACCCAGGGTAACAGACCATTCTGGAATGTCCCTGGGTCAGAAGTCTCTGAAGGATTCCAGGAGACCCATAGTCCCCCGAAGGGAAGGTAAACCCAAAGACCCCATTGTTCCCATGTGCAGCAACCCCTCCGCCCTCACACACTGGCACACTCCATCTTGCCCACAGGTGGGCATACTTTATCTCTCTTGCCCTAAAGTGGGGGTGTAACAGGCCCTGGTCACATGCTGCATCTCTTTCCTTGGTTGACGGAAGATGAAGATGTCTGCTCGGCCTCAGCCTTTGCGTGAATGTATGGCATAACTCACAAGGTGACTTATTTGGATATGTAAAAATATAGGGTATTCTGGAAACCTTGGGACATGATGACATCATGATACAACCTGCAAGTTCTAAAAATATGAACGGTTGTTAATAAACATGCAATGGGATGTGAAAGATGACAACTAGTTCTACATTAAAAGCTCACTGTGTAGGGGGTGCTGTTTTCAGAGCTAAATGATAATCTTAGGTTGTAGGATTATGATCGATCTTGGTCTTTTCCTTACATTTTGTTCTAGCTTCTTAATATTCTAGAATATGCCTGGTTACCTTTTCAAAGAGTTGAAGCCATTAATATTTTCAAAGTTAAAAAGAAACATGAACAAGACAGTTGCTAGAACACATTCCCCCCCCCATGAATAGCCTACATAGGATTTACCTATGACTGACAAAAATAGCCATCCAAAGTTACGAGTCCTTATTGGGTTCCATGTCCACCATGTTCCAGTGACTATGAGAGCAGCTTGCAACTTAGGGACAAGAATTCCAGCCCTGCAGGGGTCACCTAAAGAACACTTCAGATGGGCTTGAGAATTGACCCCATGATTTTGAGTACAGCCTTGAATTTATTTGCCACTTGAATCATTCTTTGACTTGCTCTCATGCTCTAGCTAATGATTTCACTGGAGGAATATACAGCCTCTCTAACTTCTTCTTTCCAGGGTTATGATCAGAGCTTACTCTGGGTTCCTATCACCAGTGGGTGGACATTACTCAAAGAAGGTTGTTAATTAGAGTTTTTGTCTTGGTCTAAGTCTCTTAGAAATGGTTTTGTCAAATGATAGCGATGTATCACTCATTACAATACATTATTTCAGCCTCAATTTAAATTACTCATAGATCATCCTTGACCCTGTTCTTGGCTTCTTTCTCTGGTAAGTGGTGTTATTTTCAATAGGATGTTCTGAGGACATTATCTATGCAGTTGAACGAAACTGTAATTGAGAAATGGATTCAAACATTGCCAATTAAGGTGAAAATCATTTGCCTTCTCAGTTGAAAGATAATATCTATCAAAAGTAATCAGTTTAATATAAGTCATAATGTAAATAAATTTAACTCTTTCTGGCATTACTAATGCACAGAAGTGCTAAATATTTTAATTTCTTCCCATCAAAGTATCTCTGTTCTTAGATACTGGGACATAGTAAGTCCCCATTTTTATAGGTGAAAAATCTGAGACACAAGGAGCCAAAGTAATTTCCCAAATGGGTCAGTATGTGACTTCAGCATTCCAACAGAGCCTGGCCACTGTGCTCTACTGTCTCCAAGACAAAGTCGTAATGAAATCTATCCCAAAAGTGGTTCTTACACATGCCTACATTGTTCCTGAGCCATCATGGAGACAATGTTTGGCCACCTCACAAGTGACAGAGGTAGTACTATTGGCCGACAGTGAGCAGAGGTCAGAAGACATGAGACCCCATCTTCACCACAGCCTACACATACACCGCAAGATTTAGCCCAAAATGTCAATATTGCTAGGTTGAAAATCCCTTACCTACAAAACCAAAATGAGATGAAGGATAGTGTATGGAGCTTTTCTGCCCAGGAATGATAGTACAGCAGAAGCTATGCTGATTGGATATCAACCAAAATAAAGAAAAGGGCCCACAGTAAAGAAACAGACTTTAAGCCAACGTTATACAACACAGAACTCATTTGTAGACATTATGAACTTAATAAACAGCGTGTAAGAACTTAAGCAGCACAAAAGCAGGATGAAGACAGCCAACACACGGTTTGGAAAGGCTGAAAGCTAACGGAACATGGCTGGATAGACGGGGAAAAAAAGAAATCACCTAAAGGAAAGAGAGGAGAGTTGTGGAGTCATTAGCAAAGAAAGTCGAGCGAGTTGCTGGAAAGGAACGCTGCTGGAAGACAGTGTGGGCAGAGTCACCCGCGCGGAACGACAGCCAGTGTGGGCAGAGTCACCCGCGCGCGGAACGACAGCCAGCAGACAGGCAGCGTGCAGGAAACAGTCATCTTCAGATGGTGGACCCGTGCGTCGTGGAACTGTGGTTGCTGAGAAAGGGGAAGTAACCAGTCAGTTATCAGCCTGGAGAATTTTTAGGCCCCACTAGGTCCCCGAGACAGGCAGGGTGGGGTCAGGAAACATCATTGTGGCTAATATGCATAGCGAAAAACCCAAGATGGGAAAC